CTAAACTGATGAGCGGTAAAAGCTTTTAAAGTGTCGCCTATGGCCAATTTTGGGTATGGTAGTTTTCTGCAATTTCGCGGGTGCGCGCAATTTTAAAGCTTGACATGTTTGGTGTCTATTTACCCGACGTGACCCCGTCTTTTATATTTTACCAAAAAACTGGTTAATAATAAATGTTTCCTAACATAATGTAAAAAAAACTTTTTTTTTTCAAAATTTTCTGTAATTTTTCCTAATTATAATAAAAAATAAAAACCCCAGTGGTGATTAAATACCCCCAAATAAAGCCCTATCTGTCCCCAAAAAATGGTATAAAATTCATTTCAGTACAGCGTTGCATGACGGAATAAACGTCAGTCAAAGTATCGCAGCGCCGAACACTGAAAAATGGCCTGGCCAGGAAGGGGGTCTAAACACCTGGTCTTGAAGTGGTTAAAAGTAAATACATTTAAAAAAAAAAAACCTTTAAAAAATGGAGCCCTTGCAGCAAAAAAAGTTTTCTTTGGATGGAACAGAAGCTAAAAGTAACCACTGCCTTAAAATCAGATACAAAATAAAATAAAAATTGCCCAATAATGAAATATAAAAAACACAGCAAAGGGGTTGATTGCATAAATAGATAACAATCAGATTTAAAGTACAATGTCTTAAATTAATCTGATTTCTCACCATGTCTCCCCCTTTTACATAAGGGTGCTGGTTTAATCTGGTACTTGTTTGACCCTTCTAAACCTGCTGGCCATAGTTGATAGGTGAAACACTGGATTAAATTCCCCTGAGCGCATCTGCACATAAATTCTCTGGTTCCATTACTCTTTAACCCACAGGATTCACCTTGAACTCATGGAAATGGTGAAACTGAACCTCAACCCTATTGTTTATTGAATTTTTATATTGCCTTTGCCTTTATATTGTCAATGGACTAAAGATTTGGGAATGATTTGCATAGCTCTCCCTCATATGTTTAAAGGAAGAGTTACTCCTCTGTTTATGTGGGGGGAGGGGCATTTTTAGAAGATTTGTTGTAGATTAGATGTACATTAGATGATTACCGGTATTTGTACCCAATAGTTTAGGTAAGACTTACAATCTGTTGTAATTTGCGTGTAACAAGTTTGTCTGCAGTGAATTTAATTGCATGCAAAGTGTGAGCAATAACATAAACAGCTGTGTATGCATAGGCATGCTTTGAGTCTTTCATGCCATACAACGTTGGTAAAAGGTAACTTTTCCCTGAACAGTTTTTTCCAGAAAATGTGAACATAAATTGGAAAAAAAAGTTTTTATGTTCATTTGGGGAGAGACAATGGAATATCTGAAGCCAAATGTCTTCCATCATTGGATCACCTGGGCGACTAGATGGGTTTACAATAGAAACTACATTTTCCATGCTGGGAATTGTTTTTGGTGATAATATACAAATGATGCTACAGTTATAGATGGGAATAAAATATTGTTCCATATATTTTACATTGGTCCATGACTCATGGAGTATTAGAGTCTTATTTTCAATAGTAGCCTTTAATTCAACAAATAAATCCAAATAATCTGTGGAGAAAAATCCACATATTATTATAACCATAGCTTTTGAATTCATAGCAGTTAATATACTCTGCATATTGTTTTTCTCTTTGTCTGTAAGTTTAACTATAAACTCAATACAGATGGCGTGATGAGTCATCATTTTTCTGAGCTCTTCTAATTCTGTGTCCCCACTTCCATCACTTGGTATAATAATTCCAACCCAATTCCATTGAAAATGTTTCAGACAGTGTATAATAGATGCATACCGGACCCAGTCATCCTGAATAATTCTGTAAAATGTTGGATACATATCTTTGTTACTTAGGAGAGGGTCAGCAACTCGATAGTTGACCTGTAGAAAAAAAAAAGAAAAATATTTTTCTATTTTTGTATTTAATCATAGGTAAATCTTGATACTAAACCCAAGAACAAAATATAATATTTTGCAGCTCAGATGTGGTGGCTGCATTGGCTGTTTCCCTTTATTTTATACCTGGTGATAGGGTTGCACAGATACCAAGTACAGTACTCGGTACAAGTACGAGTACATGTACCGATACTTTTGAGGTCCAAGACTACACTAGAGAAAAATTCAAAAATTAGGAGGCAGCTGTCATTTGTAAGGAGCACACGGAGCTCCTGGGATTTGTACATCTCTGTTTTAATGTTCGATTTTGTTTTTATAAATATGTATAAAGGGATGCACAGATACCAGTTTTGCGAGTACGAGTACTGGTACTTGCCGAGTACTTACAAGTACGAGTACTGATACATTTTTGTTTAATTTCATGTGACAGTTTTTCTAAAACAATACAGACTAATGATTTCAGGACAGTGGTGGAGCGCCAGAGCCAGGTCCCAGCTGCAACCGCTGCAACCCTGGTAGTTCTCATGAAAATGCCAAGTATCTGCACTGGTATCTGAACTGGTATCTGTGCATCCCTACCTGGTGATCATGCAAGTAGCATACTTCTGGTCCTTGTGTGACTATGTTCACTTTTCCACTATATATAGAACTATCTAAAGGGACATGGCTGTCACCCTAGGCTGTTCTTCTGATTTGAAATATAAATGTTCCATACAATGTCAGTACATGTAAGTGTGTTACATAATGTTACTGTGGCACCTCCCCTTCACCTGTCCAGACCCTGGTGCTTGGGGTCAGATGTTGATGGTGGTATTTGGTGTAGAGTAATTGGCAGGTCAGGGCAAGCAGGGCCCCCACATTAAACAGAAATCCCCACATTGAGCTGACATCTGCATCCAACATCACGTTAAGGTCAGAGCTTCTTCTGCAACATGTGACAGGTCATTTCAGCAACCACTAAGTGCTGGGAGCAAAATCCTACCCCCTCCACTATGTTTTTGGAGTCCCAAGTTGAGCAGTGGGGGTCCACAGTGGCTCTACTCCCTAACGTTCCAGGCAATGTCCCCAGTGGAGCTGCAAAGTTATACAGTTCATTTTTTTGGCATAAACCAACAGGGTTATTCACTAAAGGGTGAAGAGTTTGGAGAAGGCAGGATAAGTGAACAATCTAGGCCAACATAGCTGATTTGGAAAAAGTCTCCAATTCAGCTTACATTCTAGTTCCAAAAACTAAAACAAGTTAGGCCTAGTACTCTAGTGCCTTTGTGGTGTGTGGGAGTGTTCAAAGGGAAACAGCATATGTTTACTTGCCAATCCAAAAAGGGCACAAAACATATGTGTTCTTGCCAGATTACCCAGTGGGTCTCAAAGAAAGACATATCAGGCAAAGACAAAGCAGGCAGGGCTTAATCAAGAAATCATAGTTAGAATTTTAGAGACAATAGCCACAAATATTCTTGATTACTAGACATGTGCACAACAAAAAAAAAATGTTTTCATATGAAACAAATGAAAACAAAAACATTTTCATTCATTTCATCAAAGGAAACACATTTTTATGTTGTTTCGGATTTGGAGACAACGTGCCTCCAAATCCGAAAACTGCACACTGAAACCGCAGAATGAGGGGTGGCCATATCGACCGCTGGTGCGTTCTGCCATGCTCACCGCCACTTTGGAGTAGATCTTTGTATATACCAAGATGCCGGCACCCGCATGTTCGAGCTCCACCATCTTGGTGTATACCAAGATCTACTCCAAAATGGCGGCACACCACAATGCGCTGGTGAACAATATGGCCACCACGCATTCAGCGTGTGGCATCACCGTCATGTGACGTTATACGCATGTACAGAAAATGCCGGTGGCCAAAATGGTCGCCAGCGTGTTCTGAAAACAAATTTATGTATGCCCAAATATCGTTTTAGTATAACCGGGCATATATTATTGATTTGCAGATTCATCTAAATCCGAATGCACATGTATATTGATTACCAAGGCAGTAGAATAGGTCACAAACTATGAGTCCCAGAGCATTATTTACCTGCAGCAAACCATATAACTTTTACAGCTGAGTCCCCTTTATAGTGTTTACCACCAGAAAAAGGACAGAAATTTAGAGGATTTACCCTGCAGAAAAAAATAAAGATTTTGCAGCTGGGTCAAGTTGCAGAAAAGGTATGCATGGCACAATTACAGTGCCCGAGCACAGCAATAGGGCAGCCGAGGCACCACAATATGGTAGTGGGGGCAGACCAAAATCAGCAATTGTGCAACACATATTGGGTATCTCTGCAAATGCTGGAGATGAGAGAAATAATTCTGGGTCCCTCATTTGAGGTTAACTCTAAACTGATGAGCTGTAAAAGGTATTTGAAGCGTTGCCTATTGATAATGTTTTGCCTTATTTTGTGCAGTATTGATGTATAACATATTTGGTATCTATTTACTTGACACAACCTAATGTTATTTTATGCACGGATTGGGGAATTACAGTGTCTTTTTGTGCAAAAAAATATTTTTTACTAAAATAGATTGATAAACAGTTGCACAAATATTGTGCAAAATAAAACAAAATGTAACTACCACCTTTTTATTTTACAGGGTTTTTGCTTTCAGGGAGGAAGTAAGTAATTTTCTAGCAAAATTACAGAGCTTAACATGCGTGCAATAAGTGAAAATAATGCTCAGCTGGCAAAAGGGTTAAATGTTTAATTTGGGTTCTCCCCCTTTCATTTTGTTTCTCCAGACTGTTCATATAAAGTTTCTACAGTCTCAACGGATATATTTTATTCTTCAAACCTTTCTTCATTTTTATTTTTTGTCACTGGACTAGTTCTATTTTATCAACATCTTGTGTGAGTTCTCCAGAACTAGGCATAGTAAATAAGGTCTAACTAAAGATCTATATAGAGGAATCCTTCTTCCTTCCTTCATCCAGCTGGGGAACGCTCTAGTGATACAAAAGATCTGTATAGAGGAATCAGTACCTCTTTCCCCCGGCTGGGGATCCCTCTAGTGATAACTAAAGATCTATATAGAGGAATCAGGACCTCCTTCTTCCTGCAGTGGACCCCTCGATTGATAACTTAAGATCTATATAGAGTAATCAGGACCTCATTCCTCCTGCGGTGGATCCCTCTAATTATAACTAAAGATCTATAGAATCGGGACCTTCTTTCTCCTGCTGGAGATCCCTCTAGTGATATCTAAAGATCTATATAGAGGAACCAGGACCTAATTCTTCCCACTGGTGATCCCTCTATTGAAAACTAAAGATCTATATTGAAAAAGCAGGACCTCCTTCCTCCTGTGGTGATTCCTCTAGTGATAACGTAAGATCTATATAGATCTATATAGATAATGCCAGAAAGTAAAATAATAAAGTGTTGATGTAGATTTTAATTCTTCCCGATTTTATAAACAATAGCTATAGCTTTATTTAACCACCTGCTGTCCAGCCGTTTAATTACAGCGGCCTCTTGAATGCGAGTGGGCGTTTTTAGATGTCCCATCCGGGACATCTAAAAACGGCTCGCCGGCTTTGAATGTAAACAGTCAGCGAAGCGTTCGGGCGTCTGTAGAGATGCCCGATCGCTTGCAATATGCGTGCGGGTGTGAGCCCCCACTCTGTCGCAGCCGCTGCTGGTGATCCCGAGCTCTGCTGTGCCCGGTGCGAGCCTGGGACCAGCATAGCAGCTCTGCGGCCGGAGATCAAACGGAGCTCAGTACACGAGCTCTGTTTGATCTCCTCCTTCTCTTTGGAATGCAGGCAGTGATGTGTATTACATCACTTCCTGCATTCAGTGTCACTCTCCGGTACAGAAACCGGAGAGATGCTGGTGAAGCAGGTCTCTGGGGCTCCCTAGGTGACATTAGGGGTCTTAAAGACCCCTGATGTCTCCATAAAGAGGACCTGTCACTGCAAATTGGCTATCACGTAGGGAACTTGTTTGCTCCCTATGTGATAGCAATAAAGTTCAGTAAAAAAAAAAAGGTTTAAAAAAATGTAAGTTCCAAAAAAAATAAAAAGATTAAATATCACAAATGAAAGCAAAAAAAAAATGAAAGTCCCCCGCCCCCACATGCACACAGAAACATGCGTCAAGTCCGCCTACGTGCGAAAACAACGATTACATCACTCAGACGTTCGCGGCAATATGTAACATGTGCGGCGCAATGCTGCACATGTTACATATCGCCGCGAACGTTGGAGTGAGAGCAATACTTCTAGGGCCATCAATCACTGATAACACTAAACTGATGAGCGGTAAAAGCCTTTAAAGTGTTGGCTATGGTCAATTTTGAGTATGGTAGTTTTTTTGCGATTTAGCGGGTGCACGCAATTTTAAAGATTGACATGTTTGGTGTCTATTTACCCGACATGACCCTGACTTTTATATTTTACCAAAATATTGGGTAATAATAAATGTTTTATAACATAATGTAGGGATAACAGGTTTTTTTTCAAAATGTTCTGTACTTTTTCATTATATAGTAAAAAAAAAACCCGTAGTGGTGATTAAAGTGACATTAAACCCTCAGATTTTGTAACATAAACCAATACTGTAATGTGTGCCTTACTGTAATCCATGGTTGTGTCCCTTCTCTTTGCTGCTCTTCCTTTTTAATCTGTATCTGTTCTCATGCTGGGCAGAACTTCTGTTTTGCAGCAGACTGCCTTGTCTCAGGAATGGATACATGGTGTCTGTGTATAGGTTCACAACCTGAGCCAGCACTACAGGAAGAGGCCCTGAGCTGCAAAGGGAAGTTCACCCCAAGCATGAGAAGACATGAGGACTTAAAAGGAAGAGCAGCATAGAGAAGGGAAACTACCATGAATTACAGTAAGGCACACATTACAGTATTGGTTTATGTTAACAAAATCTGAGGGTTTAATGTCACTTTAAATACCACCAAAAGAAATCTCTATCTGTCCCCAAAAAATGGTATAAAATTAATTTCAGTACAGCGTTGCATGACGGAATAAATGTCAGTCAAAGCACTGCAGCGCTGAATACTGAAAAATGGCCTGAACAGGAAGGGGGTATAAACACCCCGGTCAGAAAGTGGTTAATGAGTGCATTTACGAGTGATATAATCAGATTACCTATTAATATGTTTACAGTGATCACTTACCTGTGTGTATCGATATAGACTGAGTAACTGGGCCATTGCAAAACTTGTATGGAAACTGGAGTCACCAATAAAACCAGCCACTTCCCCGTGTTCCCTACAGGAATAGTTAGGAGCCTCCATCTTTTTTCCAGACAATATCTGCATGACATATCCCAAGGTTCTCTTTGGATCTCCACAAGTGTTAAATATATGATAACCGAGAGTTATATTGGGCAGAAGATCGGGGTTCTGATTAATCTCATTAACAGCAAAGATCATCGCCAAGATGCTTCTGTACTCCTCAGCGTTAATTCTATAAATCATTTAAAATAAACATTATGAAAATCTAACATTTGACTCCATTCATAAGGTTAGAGCTGAACTCCAGACAGGTATTGAAAAAGTAAACACCGTTATGTCATTAATGCAAAAATAATTAAATGTATTCTAAATGCAACTAAATGCAATTATCTGAATTGTACTTGATTTCAGCTTCTTGCAATCCCTTCTACAGCAGCACTTAGGATGGAAGAGGGGCAGTGCTTGGGGCCAATTAAGTGTCCTGCATTTTCATGTGCTGCCTAGGAACATGCTGACAGGAAGGGAGAGCAGAGAGATGACCACATCAGTGTGTTGCTGCTCCTTTACTGCCGAATCACATGCTGGGGGCAGGTAGGTGACCTAACTATATTGTCAAACTTCAGCAGAAAAAAGCCAGGCTGTCTGTGCCATCTGACAAAATTGTATGAATCTCAGGCCTGAATAGACAAGGTACTTGAATGCATTTTTAAGATTTAACTCCTGAGTTTATTGTCACTTTAACACAAACCATTAAAGCACTATGTGCATGGTGAAGGTTGTCATACCCTACGACAGCATAGACCGTGTTACCTGTAGGTAACAGGTAAAATAATAGACTGTCTTCTTACCCTGTAGTGACAATTAAAGAAGCACTATATTAAAAAAGTTTCAAATCTAAAATAGTGTTATGTTGGGGAGCTCACAGAGCACTCGCTCAGGGCTTTTCTATAAACCAAGTCTTTATTTCTTCTCTTCAGGCAACTCACAGGTGAAAAGCACAAATGAAGGCTTAACTTCAGCAGACAAGACAAAGTAAAGTTCACTTTTCTTCCGCAAATACTGTATAGGGTCTCACTGACTCAAGGTTGTCCCATTTACTCACAGTATCCCAGTCCCAGTACTTTAACATGTGCCTCAACAAAATGCCTCAGTGGTACCACATACCCTATAGCCACTTCCAGCAGCTTTCCACACACGTTGTGTGCCTGGCCCCCTCAGCCTGTCAAATTTGCCAGCCTCCCTGGCTGTACAACCACCTGATTAGCGCAGACTTGGCATTGGCAACACCTGGCCCCAGGACTGGAGATTTAATCACACCCAGAGCTCTTAGGCCTCATTCACATGACTAACGGTCGGTCCGTACAAATCCATACTGCATGTACGGCCGTATCGGGCCACTCCCAGGAAGGACAGGTGCTGCATGTGACTTATATATATATGGGAATATGCGGCCGTACACTGACGTAATCTCACTCAAACTGCACACCCGTGTGGGTGCGGGTGTCCCTGCTTGGACGCAGACAGGATCCATCCTGTCTGCGTACGGGAACGGACACCCACATGGTCGTGGCAGTTCTGGTGTGCAATCACACACCAGAACTGCCGCACCTGTCCTTCCCGGAAGCAGCCCAATAAGGCCATGCACGCAGCATGGATCTGTACGGGCCAGCTTTTAGTCATGTGAATGAGGCCTAAGAAATCCCCAGAGCTCCAGCTCCCAGATAAAATTAGGAAAACCTGGAAGAATCTGAAAAGCCTGCTTCTTCCTTATAAAATGGTTTACATTTTTGTCCCTCTCAGCTCCTCTGGCTGAGAGTCCTGGGTGCCAAAGTTGCCAAACTGCACCACAGCATTGCCATGCACTGCCACAATAGACCTAAACATATGCTTCAAAAGTTGAAACTGTATATCCATCTTGTCTTCAAATGTTGTTAAAGTTCAATAGTTTTATTAAAAGTTTTAACAACTAAAAAGGACACAAAAGTAAATAATCCTGAATAATGCAAAAAGAAAAAGCGTTGTCTCGCAGGCCAACATCATAACATACTGTATATCCAGAGAAATGCAATAGTTGGTTTAACAACAGTAGAAACATATCATTGTCAAATAATTGCAAAATTGAGAATGTTTGATGACAATTGTATATACAATCTCTGAGTCTATGAATTACAGAACAGAACCTTAAGTTTTATTAAGGGCAATGTGAAAGTTCAGATAAACAGAAGATCCTTCACAGTAGAGACAGTAAGAGCAGAGGTGGTGGAAAGAGAAATAAAGAAAGTCCAGAAAAGGGAAGAGTTGAGAGGGGCGCTGGGAAAGAAAAGGGAAGGAGAGGGAAAGAGCAGTCTTGGGTCCAGTCAACTCTCCAGAATAAACATGTCAGATTGACTATGCAAGGTAGGAGCCATGTTGTTTAAAGTTCAATAAGTCTTCTATGAAAAAAAGATGATTGTAGATGTCTAAGCCATAGTTTCCAAATTTTCTCAAACTTCGGAAAAAAAGTCGTGCAAACATGCAGTTAGCCTCTCATTTATAAATGTCCAGTTAACCTTTGTTGGGAATTAGATTGCCACAATTTTGCAATTTACTGCTTTAATGAGCACATTTTTAACATCATTTAGTATCACATTTCTTAAAATATGCAAAAAAAACGACTTACAGTACACAGAAATGGTATAGTATGGCTTGCCCATCACAACGACTATGCTCTACAGTTTTGGAGTGAGCAGAGATCAGTCCTCCAATAATGATATCTCCCTCTTGGTAATACTCATACTCAAACACAGGCTTTCTAGCATGAAGTTTGCAATTAAAGGCTGAGCTATGAGTGAATAGTGCTTCATAACAGGTGACAGGTAGAAGAAGTGTCAGCAGGTAACAAGCAGAGTGCACCGGAGACCAACTCATGTCATACACCAGATCTTTCACAGAGTATGGTCACCAGCAGCTCTGCACATCACTAGCACAGGAGGTGGTTATATACAAGAGCCAAGACTGATTTAGACATTGTTCATTTGTCTACGTTATGTTTTTTTGTGAGTTAAAATTGTCTGTTTTATTTTTCTCATGATAAATGTATTGTATTTTATTGTTGTAATTTTATTTCAGTCATGGCTTTCATACCTAGCATGTTTATTTGGGCTGTATTCCAGCAAATATGGAAAAATGGTTGACTGACCTTGTGACTCTGGACTATGGCCCCACAAAATTAAATGAATTAGTTAACTTGGGTTTGTCCACCATTTTTACATCATGAATGACCCTTTTAAAAAAAAAAAAAAAAATGATGAAAGTAATTTTGGGGGGGGAGCAACTCTGAGCCTTTGCCCAGGTGACAGAATGTCTAGTTTCCCCATTGCTGACCCCTATCATCCAATCATGTGCATTCAAAATGTAGCTTCCCCGGTTACACGATCAGTGATATCCCAGCACAGGGTAGCACTACCGGTGACTCCTAAGGGGTGATCTACAGCACACCAGCGCACCTTGAATTGGTTTAAAGTAGTTTACTTCCAATAAAAAGATAAATGTCCCTTTGAACATATGCGCAGTAAAATACTTTATATTGTCAAAGACTTCAGAGCATAAATTAGAATCAGTTATAAAAGGTGATTGTATATAAGCAATGGATGTACTGACAACAATCCCCTTACACAGGATTAAGGTTAGCATAGAACCCTTTCTCAGTCCTAATGTACCCGAGTACCTAACCAACTGGCCAGTGTTTTAATCTTCAACTAGGCAACGATGGGGCCCAACGTTGCTTAGCCGAAGATTAAACCACTGGCCAGCGACCGTGGGCCGTGACGAGCAGACACCACATCGAATGATGATCAGATCATTCGATGTGGTGTCTGCTTGTCACGGCCCAATCTCCGCTCCTGGCCTCTGCACAACGGCATGGAGTGTCAAGCGGTCAGCTCACCATGACCACCTGGCAGGTTATCACGCTCTGTTGGTCCTACTAGTAGGGCAGACAGGGACACAGGATACAGTCTCAGCAGCCTTTACACTCACAGCAGCCACAGACAGCCTGCCCTGTCGACCTCCGCACGGGGAATAAATCAAGACATTTTCCTTCTGCCAGAGTGCACTCCTCTCACAGCACTCTGGGACATGTAATCTCCAATAGCCAGTTCTGCCAGCATATTCCTGAACAAAAAACTCACACCCCATAAGTCTCTGCTAGCAGAAGCCCCGGTCAGTTGCAACATTAGATCTGTCTTAAAGGGACCTACTCCACAACAGTGCAACAAAAATAAAATAGTTTTTTCTTTCCTTGCACATGTTTATGTATTCTTTGCAAAGTGGGTTTCCACCAGATAGACTTTAATGCTACGGGGAATATTTTGAACATTTTGTAATTTTTTGGCTTGCTACTTTCAGAGGAATATAGTAAAGCATTTTAAATTCAAGGGGCTTTTAATGGTACAACCAAGAACCAACATTATTATGTCATAAAAGCATATTTCATTAATCTTCATTAAAAAACAAACAAACAAAAAATATTTGTAAAGGTGACTACAACCTCCCATGCATACCATACACACTGTACAAATGCATCAACAACTGTGCATAACTTAACATCAAAATGTCCAATTTGGGTGTATTACAGATAATTTGTAGCTTGTCATTGCTGTAGTGGTAATAATCTTCAACACATTTCACATCAATAGCTTCTCTAGGAGGAGGGAGGAAATTGTGGTCCAACCCAGCTAAAAACTCAACAATGGAAACACCCACTTTAATGTTGGCCTCTATTGGAGACTGCCGAAGAGGTCACATAAGAGGACAAAAATCACCATAGACTATGCATATCTTTTTTTTAGATCCCCACCTTTTTTAGAATCCCACCAGGCTGCATGGCGAGACCTGGGCATTTCTCTACCATTTAAATCAGCAACATCAGGCAAAATTGGTACACTGTGGTGATTTTTTCCACCTATGTGACCTCTGCTGCAGTCCCCAATAGAGGCCGACAAATATATGTGAGCGTTTCTATTGTTGAGTTTTTAGCTGAGTTGGACCACAAATTCTTCACTCCTCCTGCAGATATGGATTTCAAAAACAGTTAAAAGTATACAGTGACATATACATTTGCAACTACATTTTTCTATTTATTTATTTATTTACATGTTTTCTGCTTTCAGAAAATAGAATGTTTTGGGGTTTTAAATAATTTTCAGACCTAGAATGTGCATTTCAAATGTAATTTTTTTTTGCATTTTTTTCCAGATAACACACATCGTGCAGTTTTATTTCTCATTTAAAATCCATTTCAGCAGCCAGATAGTCCAAAAACACAAATCACATTTTTATTCTAGGTGCCGCTTATCCAGCATTCATACCACGCTTTGTAATAAATCCATTGTGTGTTTGCTAGAGCCTGTGTATGTTTTCGTGAGCACAGAGTAAAGGCATCAAGGTTATCTGCAAATGATCGATGCAGAAGCATATGCAGATTTAAAAAGAACTACATTAAAACATTCACAAATCAATCACATTGTATCTGCCTAAAGCTGGCCATATACCTATAGATTATCTGCAGATTTTCTATGGTCGGATGGAAAAAGGGCAAAAGATTCCTCCATCTACGCTAAACTGTGTGGATAAAGGAATCTCCCACTGGCTCAAGCTTCAGTATCTTGCTGGTCGGCCCCGCTGGCCCTCAAAATACCTGAACAATGCCTGCATCCAATCAGACAGTTCAGATATTTTGACAGCCAGCGGAGCCGACTAGCAAGATACTGAAGGTTGGCCCAGGGAGGGATTCCTCTATCCATACAGTTTAGCGTAGATGGAGGAATCTTTTGCCCTTTTTCCATCCGACCATAGAAAATCTGTAGAAAATCTATAGGTGTATGGCCAGCTTAGGAAATGAATTATTCTATGAAAGAATAATGTAGGTTGCCAAAGGTGCATTCCCTCAAAATGCTAGTTGCCTGGTTGTCTTTGACTTTAAAAGAAAATTATGAGGCGCGTGATTTTCACTCAGCCTCATAATCTGAGCCGACCTGTGACAATGAAACTGTCACAGGTCGGCTCAGTAGATCGAGAAGTGAGCGAACACATGCCGTTGCTCGCTCACTTCTCAATCTATCCTTGCAGAGAGCCGTGACTGTCACTTACGGCTCCCTGCAGGGATTCCCCCCCTCTCTGCTCCGATCCTCCAGCGCTGACTGGTGGAACGGATGGGGAGGGGGCTGGCACCGCTGGTTCTGCCTCTGGATAGGCAGAGCCAGCTGTCCATCTCGCAGCTGGGCGGATCTTGACAGCAATGTCGGGATCCGTTCCGGTTGCGGCGTCTCAGTATACCGCGAGGTGCAGTATACTGAGCTTTGGGTCACAGGAGAAGGCTAGTTTGTGTTCTCCTGTGACCCTTAAGAGAACTATGGGGAAAAGCCCTGACTCCATAGTTCTCCTTTAAAGTAGAACTCCAGGTATGCATTAGTTTGCAAATTTACTTTGGTGCTGCTTGGTCCAATTTAGGTTTGCATATGCCATACCTGATGGGATAGTGGACATCCTGCAAAGCGTGGTAGCAGCTGGAGTTACTACAGTGCTGGACATTATTCTGAGTCCTGTATGGTGCTGCGATGAGTGCCTTCCACTCAGCTGTAAAAACACAGAGTATCACTCACTCTGCACAGCGGCCATTCGTAGAACGCCTAGAATTTTTTATCAGTGAATACAGGAAATCTTCTAATTGGACCGGGGTGGATTGTAATGTAATTTCCCTTAGTCCAATCAGAGAACATCTTGTAATCATTGATACAAATACCCAGATAGAAAGCAATTGAGCTGCAAGTTTGAAAATGACTTGCTAAACCATTGCTAGACTAGCCAAGCTTCACAATTTTGTTGCACAATTGCAGCAAGTCTGCATTGCAAGTCTTCAGATGATGCTGTACACTTGCAGAGCTCTTGCTAAGACCTACAGGACTCTTGCTGTAGACTTTCCAAGCAAATTTGCTACAAATTCAAAAAGTGTCAACTAGAACTTGTGCTGCAAGTCTACAACTTATCAGGAATGTGTGCAGCAAAATATCAAGAATTACAATTTAACCCTGCTACAAGGCCGTGGCAAGTTATCCTTGCTATCTGGATACTAGGCATTCTCTGAACAGCTGCTGTGCCCAGTAATTGACCCTCTATGTCTTCAGAGCAGAGGGGAAGCCGCTTAGCACAGAACAGTAGCGGCACCTGGAAGGTCATGGCCAGCTCGGTAGTAGCCCCATCTACTACTGTGCTTTACAGGATTTCCATCAGCCACACAGGTATGGCATAAACATACTTACATTGGTCTAAGCAGGTCTGATGTAAGTATACAAATAATGCATAACTGGGGTTCATCTGTTCTAATATTATTAATTCCAGAAATAATCTTCCCATAAGATTATATGTAAAATGAGCATGTTTTGCGCATTCAAAATAGTATTAAACGCTTAAACTTTTTTCAATAATGGATACAGATCAAACAAATATACATTGCCCAGAAAACAATTGCTTTACTTTTTTGCCCAAACAATTACAATCATCAGGTTTCTGAACAAATGCTTCCAAGTCTCCCAGCTCAGCTTCCCTAAACTTCCTGTCCAGTACACATGGTCTGAACACACCTGATTTTGGTTTGAGTTCGAACTTTAGAACATGGAAAAAGTTTGAACTCGAATTTCGAACTTACTGAAAGTCTATAGAACCAGAGCTCTGAAAATCAAATGTCTCCATTTTAAAGGCTTATATGCAAGTTATTGGCCATAACAAGTGTATGATGATTCGGCTACTGCCCTGGGGGACATGTATCAATGACAAAAACACTTTTAAAAAATAAACATTTTAAAGGATCAGTGATTTTAACATTGCTTAAAGTGAAACTATAAAAATAAAAATTTCCTTTAAATATTGTGCCGGGAGTCCCCTTAAATGCCTGTAAAGGGACGCATCTGTACGATGTATAGAACCTGCTGCAGCAAAAAGTGACATCTATAAAGAAAAAAAGGACATTTATAAAGAAAAAAAGTGTGTGCAGTCCCCCCCCAAAAAAACAATACCAGATCCTTTAGGTCTGGTAGGAATGTTAGGAAGGACCACATTTAAATAAAAGTAAAAAAAAACAAAACATGGGGTTCCCTCCAAAAGTCATACCAGACCCTTAAGGTCTGGTAGGAATTTTAGGAGGGACCCCATTAAAAAAAAGTGTGTGGGGTTCCCCCTCAAATTTATACCAGGCCCTTAAGGTCTGGTAGGAATTTTAAGGAGGAACCGGACTCCAACAATTGGGGTAAAAAAATGGGGTCCCCTAATATTGCTAACCAGACTCTTGATCAGAGCATAGTCCTGGCAGGGCAGGAAATGGGAGGGATGAGCGAGCGCCCCCCCACCCTGCCATACCAGGCCACATGCCCTCGGCACTGGGGGGGTGCATTTCCAGGGTCGTCCCTGAAAAAGTACCTTGTACCCGTGCCGACGGGGACAAGGGCCTCTTCCCCACAAGCCCTGGGAAGTTGGTTGTGGGGGGCTTATTCACATCAGGGTACCCCTCTATTAAAGGGGCACCCATATGTGCCCCTCCCCTTGTGAATGAGTTAGGGGTGACTCCTGAGAGAGTTTACCCCTTGTGTGGCGCTTATCAGAGGTAGGGGGAAGATGCAGGGGGGGGGAGAGGCAGTACTTGGTGGGTACACCGGTTATCACTTGGGGTGTGGTGGGTGTAGACGCAG